GTAGCTCCCGCGTAGGGGTTTTTACCGGACTCGTGTTTGAGTCCTTATTTTTCAAAATTCCTTACATTTATGCTGATCGAAAAAAAAAAAAAAAAAGTTCATTGAACCAATTTGATTAAAAAAATTACAAACTTTTAAATCCTATCTTTATTTAAAATAATTCCATTTCAGAAAAAATTTGTATTGTAATCTCAAAAATGGATTCGGGCTTGAATGAGGACAAGTCACAAGCGTTCTGTTGTATGATCCAATCCAACAACCCAATTTAAACCGGACCCATCCTCACCATTCTGATTCTCTCTACTGCACTGGTGCCGTGCGGCCTCTGTTCGTGCTTCAACCCATCAGCCAGCCTTCAGTTTCAAGATCCAGTTGTTTGAGCTTCAACTTTCAGCCAGCCAGTATCTAATTCGAAAAGGTTAATAGGTGCTTTCTCACGAATTCTCTCGTCTTAAGTATTTCAATAGAGATGTTTTGAGTATTATGATATGGATGACCCTTTTTTAATTGGGTAGGGAAGTATTAGAATTAGTATAATTCACAAATCAAGATTTAATAAAATTAATTTATTGATAAATTACATAAATTATATTTATTAATAAGTAAGTGTGATCTTGAAATTAACGTGTAGTGTGGGACCTCCACTGCACATGGACCAAACCATTTCGACTAAGAGAAAAAAATTGTACTGAATTTTTGGAGGAAGAATGAGCTTGTAAGTGCAGATAGACAAAACGGGTGGCCTTAGTTCAACTGGTTAAAGACCGCAACCCTCCAATAGGCTGAAAATTCATTTTAATCAGGGACGACATCTATTGGGTTGGGAATTGTTGATGTCGAGATTCCTTACTCCTCCCGTGAAATTGATTAAATAGGTGAAGACGTCCAATAATTTTTTATGTTCGTAGTGATTCTTTTTTTTATATTATTAATCTTATTTTGCCTATATAACAATTATAATTGTAATATTTAGTTACATATGATTCTTTTTATTTAATTATTTATATTCGTCATGTATATAATTTAAATTTGTTAACGGTACTATAAATTATGCTTTTCATTTTATTTTAGGATATAGTGCCTTGAGATAGTCTCTTTTTATTTTAATATAATTCTCTATTTTTTATAAAAATAAATAAATAAATAAATAAATAAAGTTAAAAATTCAAGTTTTAAGCTAATATTTAATAAAATTAATTTTCTTAAATACATAAAATTATTGTGGGCGTGCTATAAATATCACTAAAAAATAAATTAACCTCAAGATACATGAAAATTGACTTAAAAACAAGTGACAACAAATAAAAAAAAGTATAATGCATAAAAAGTTGATTAGATGAAACTTCTTTACTTATGTATCCAATATCTAAAGTTTCAAAACTTTGAATTTAAAAACAGGGCAAACACTTGGCCGAAAAAGGTATGCAAGTTTTCTGTGATACCATTAGTGTATGCACAAGGAATTCCTCATGACTAGAATTAAAAAGGTAAAAGCGAACATAATTATCTCTTAATTTCTTTACAATTTTCTTCTTCCTTTTGGATACACACCTGTATGTAAAAGTAAAGCCTTGTCCAGCAATGTATTCCTAACGCTAAATGACAAATAATTTAGCAAGCTATTTATCCTATTAAAGGAAAAAGCTCATATGGTGGCACAAAACATCTCTGTATTATGTGTTTTCTTTCTTTACGCAATGAAACGATTTCTCTCCAAAGGCCTGTGCACAATTTTTTGTCTTCTCCTTTTGTATTTGTTTATGCCATTGTCCGGTAATCTTCAAATTCAACCGCTGTACAATTTGACAGATTTTTCCAACAAATCGCGATTGTTCCCTGGAATTTCCTTCACCCTCGATCCATTTTTGTATATCTTGAAAGCTGGAATGGAGCTTACCCCCTCTGATTTGGCTAAGTATGGATGATCTTCCACCTCTACCTGAAAAAAAAAAATCAATTAATTTCTCATCAGTTGTTAATTTATTTCCTCTTATCTTGTTTTCAAATAAAATAATTGATACAGTGTTTCTTATCCAATGAATGCATCAATCATTACACGTTCAACTCATTTAATGTATACAGTTATATTAAAATTTCGTTAGGAAAAAAAAAAAGGAAAAGTAAAAGAAAAAAACATTGCATCTAAGTCAATTCCATTTTGATAATAAAAAGAAAAATAGCAAAGTAGAGTACCTTCAGGAAATTGACAGAGGGGAATCTCTTGCACACTTGCTCCATAAGCTGCACAACTTGCATATGTTTTGCTTTGTTACAGAACAGAACCACAGACATCCCTGTCATGTAATGAACTCTTTAATTTTCCTTCTTAAATCGAAAATCTTTGATAAACTCAAAATGGAATGGCCATGGTCACTTACCTGGTGAGGTTACAAAATGCCTAAACCGCTCGTTGCTAGAAATTAAAACCAAATTAGACCCAAATTTCATGTCCTCAACATCTTCACCTTGGTGCCTCTTGAGCTGTACCTGAGCCTCAAACAGTGCCTTGGCCACTTCCTCATCTCCTGGAGTTTCCCTTATCAACATCTCATAGTCTTGAATTGCGGCTTCCCACCTTTCAAGCTGATATAATGAATACCATAATAGGTATTAGATGCGTTGATACTTGATACATCAAGAGTTGCACCAGAAAATGCTAAATTGATAATAGTTTGAACTTTACCTTAGCATTGCAATCAGCCCTTCTGAGCCTGGGCTTGCCATAAGAAGGTTGCACGACGAGAGCAGCCGTGCAATCTTCAATGGCCTTTTCAAATTGGCCAAGCTTGGATCGACAGGCTGCTCTGTTGCATAGCAAAACTGAATTGCAAGGATCATACTCTAGTCCTTCATTGTACACAATGCAAGCTTCAGCGTACTTTGATGCCCTGAAGAGCAAGTTACCGCTGATCCGAGCTGACGATACTGCTCTTGTCCTCTTTACCATCAGGCTCACTTCCTTGTTGCCTGGATCCAATCTAGCTGCATTCTGAGCTGCTGTTACAGCATCTTCAAACCTATTAACCATTATTAAGTACTCTTATCAGCATGAATTTTGATGCATATGTTTGAACAGTAGAGATATTTGTCACATATTTTACTAACCTGCCAGTAACTAGGAAGACCTGTGCCCTAATCATTAGTAGATATGAGCTGGTAGCCAGGCCAAAGAGCTTGGTACAGGATTCAATGGCAAAATCTGGTCCTTTACTGTAGACTTCACAGGCCTCTTGGTGTCTTTGGAGGTTCAATAAGGCCTCTGTTTGTAGGGCAAATATCTGTGTTTATACAACAGAAGATGACCATAAGATCAAGAAACCAACACCAAGTAATCAAATTGAGAATGTATATGGGTCCATTTAGGATATGGCGCTCTCGTAGGAAAATTTTCATATTTAATGAAAACATGTTCTATATTTTATAGTATGATATAGTTTAATCTGTAAAAAAATGATAAATGAAAGAGGATCCCAGTATCAACAATTTTTATTGTATAATTTAGATTGTATAACAATTTTTTAAACTTTTAAATTTACTCTGACTATTGTTAAATTGGTTTTACTTAAACAGTACTTATGCAAAAGCTTCAATTAAATAAAAGAAACTAACCTGAGGTGCAGAGTCGGCTCCAGAGCACAGAGCAGAGTGTGTCTCCTTAAGCAAAGAACTCCATTCATTGCCTTTTCGAGCCACGGTGCATTTCCTGAGGTGTTCATGTAGAGCTTGAGCCCTGGCAGTCTCTTTGGGATTGGCAGATTCCCCTGTATAATTGTAGTGATACAAAGCCTTCTCTGCTTCTCCCAAACGGTGATAAATTGCAGCCAAACGGACATGAGCTTTCTGATAATTGGGATCAAGCAGGATGGCTTCTTCACACCCAACAGCAGCCTCCAAAAGTTTGCCTAAACAAACCAGGGCAGCACTTTTGTTACCCCAATACACTGCATTTTTAGGATCAAGGGAAATTGCCTGTTCATATAAAGCCAGTGCCTCTCCAAATCTCCCCTGCTTGTACGCCTCATTCCCCATATTTTTCAATCCTTCAGGATCTAATTTACTTGCCAGATTTGGATAATGCCTGTACTCATCGCCAGGCTGCCTAATAATGTTCCCCATGACTCCATTAGTGTGAACCTTACTAAATCCATTTCTGGGTTTAGGGTTTGTGCTTGCTGCTTCTAGAAGTAGGCTACTGGTTCCAAGCTGCTTCAAGTTACCCAAGTTGCTGCCTTTTAGGATTACATTACCGGAAGAAGATCGAACCCGGTCTTTACTATTATTCAAATGCTCTGCGTGGTTACCACTGGACTCTTTGTGCAACTTTTTCTCGTTGGTTGAACTGGATGATGAGGATGATGTTGAGCTCCTTGACGCATCCGAAGGTCGCATAGGGTTGCTCTTTTGGTGGGAAGTTGAGTTCCTGGCGCCTGCAGGGGCTAATTCAGGCCTCCTGGTTGGTTTCAGGTCTGGTTTTGGTGGAGGTAATGAGGAATCAGGCAGGGGAAGGACAGACTCCACTGACCTGCGCCGCTGTGGCTTGGAAGGTTTGGCAGGTAGTGCAGGGACTAGTGTTTTCCTCGACATGTAGCCCCGGAGATTGAAAATTCCTCCCATAATTCCACAACCCAATTGATTCTCCATTGAACACTGGGCTGTCTTTGCCATATTTTTACTGAACCAATTACTCTGAAATCACTAGAATTGTCAGAAATTAGAAGGAATCAAAGACAATGTGTACACGAACTCAATGTATGTACAATACAATGAGAATTTGAATGGAGTTACCAATTGAAGGAATACAAGAAAAGAAAATATTAAAGAGAGTAGATGATAAGGGATGGCTTGAATGCAAAGGATTCAATGTAACAGGCATACTCGTAGGAGATGTATTTATATGAATTTCAGAAGCCCTTAGAGTGGCTTCCAAGAAACCAGCTTTATCTCTTTAGGATGATAGGAGTTATTATTACCTGTATGATGTAAAAATTATAAGAAATATATGATATTAAATAAATAGATGTAAATTAATTTATAAATTTTGTTCAATAAATATATTATCACGCTATAAAGCATATATTATGTCCAAATATTGTCAATTAATTATTTCAAATCTAAAAATGATTATTGTTCTAGACACTAAAAATTGATATTAATAAGTCAAGTGAAATGCTGTTGTAAATCATAGAGCTTTTGTTCTCTAGACGCATGCCACCACTAATGATGGTCAGCCAAACCGTGTTCATTTTTTGCTCTTTATTTTTTAATTCATCTAATCAGTTAAAAATAGGCATTTGAAAATAAAATTTAAGAATTAAAAAACAATATTTGTATTTAAAGAATTATAATATTTATGGCCCCTTGTAAATAAAAAAACAGAGGTTATTGCAACTTCCAAGATAACACAAATTAAACAAATTTAATCAATCAAATTTCCTAGAAAGTACTGTTTTCCCAGAAATTAATTTTTATGTAGTTTGGTTTCATTGAACATCCAAGTTTTGGGTCATATTTTCATTAGAAAAAAAAAAAAAAGTTTTGTGTCATGTCTTGCGGCTCTTGCCGTTAGTTCCCCATGCCTGAAAAAGAAAAATAAATAATGTCAAATCCGCGTGCACATTAATCTGGTAGTATTTGATTTTATGTTCATCTAATATTATTCCATCGTAATTTTGTCTCTTCCTCTTTAGTTTCCGTGAGGGTTTATCAGGGCATAAATTAAACGTGTTTTATTATATTTTTTAAATATTTATTTGTTTACAAAAATAAAAAAATTAATTAATAAGATTTAAATAATTTTAAAAAATCTTGACATTTTAAATATTAAAATGTTTTAATTTTCATTTTTCTTTTATGATAATTCATGTGTGCATAGTTGATAACTGAAAATTCTACTTCTCATAGTAAATTGAATTTGATAATATTACATGATAAAATTTAAGAAAGTGGAAAAAAATAATTTTTCTATAACATGAATAGCTAAACTTTAAATTTGATTAACCCACAAGCAGCTAAAGTTAATTTGAGGTAAATGTATAATTTTCAAGCATGAAATCATCATATTCAATTGTAATTATTAAGATGGAAACGTTTGATGGTCCGAGTAAATTTCTATTCATATAAGAAGCATATAGTCCCTCTTATAATTATGGCCATCAATTGCGAATTCAAAGCAAAACCTTTCCTAAGTTCAAAATCTCCTTGCAGGTAAGCAAAGTTGGAAAGTGAGAGGGGAAGAGCACCGGTGTTTGGACTAATGATGAGCCATCAATTCCTTTATATTTAAACCATCCTGAATCCTTGAGAAACATCATTCTCTAGCTAAACCTGAAATATGGGTTGCCGGCAAAGGATAGGATATTAGAAATATTACAGGCCTTTTTGCAGTATCTTTTTGCTGAAGCCTGAAGCAGCTGACTAGCTGCATACCCTACAATATGAGTCACAATCATTTGAAGAATTAACTAAACAACATCATGAAAATTAATTAAAATCTTAGGACTTGATATCACATTAAATATAATGATAAAAATGATTGATCAGATCCACCATGGCAGCTCCTAATCATGTCTTAACACCAGTTTTCATAATGAATGAAGCATTTTCTAAAGTACAATTCTTTTCGGCAGATTTAGTTGAAAATCATTACTTTGTTTATCTTAATAGAAAGAAAAGACTTAAGAATACAAGCTTTTTTATTTTCAGTTGTAAGGCCCTATGGACTGCACCTAATTCACTTTGACAAAATGGCTGTGTTGGAGTAAACAATGGAAAGGAGAGGAACACTAGAGACTAGGGTTGTCTACTCTTTGGTAGAAAGGAATCTTTGTGTTTTGACATCATCCCACAAATGAAAGCTTCCTTTAAAATTCTACTTCTCCGTTTTCTCCCATATTCTCCAATCCCCACATGCATGATATCCCATTTATATATATTTTCATGGTATGGTAATGGTACTTTGTATATTATATTTGTATTCAACAGTACTAACACCTAACCGAAGAACTTTGCTTGTGCAGCCCGCCTCCCTTTTGAGCAAATGCACTTGAGACTCAATATCAAAATGGAAACTAATTAACTCATCAAAAGACCTACCAAACAATGGAAAAACCCATCTTCCTAACAACCTAGTTGGCTTAATTTTCTGCTGAGATCATTATATGTCATCTATTGCTTATGGAAAAAGGGATTCTGAAGTTCATTGAATGAAACCCAAGAAGTTATTTGGGGCATGACTCTCTGTTTGCACTTCAAAGCATCAGTGTTAAACTTTTTCTTGTATTTTTCCTTTGAGTTGGACAAAGTTTATTACACTTGAAGTTTTTAAAGATAATCAGAGAATTCAAACTAGTTTTCTTTTTGGTGAAAAGAGCTCTTCAAATTTGACTCACTGTAACTAGGGAATCTGCCTCATCATTGATCAAGAATATAGCTAGCTATCAAGTATCGAATAAAAGCTAACAGATCAATATTTGGCAATTGGGTTCAGCTTAGCTTGGGAGCACTTCCAATCGTTGTGCCATGAAGCACTCCAGAATTCAATGGTATCAAGTACTTTTTTTCAAATACCCGTTCCCCACATGGAGAAACTAGTGAAAACAGCTAGACCCCTATCAACTCAAATTTTTAGCTCTAACAAATTCTAACATGGAATGCTTAGGATGTTCAAATATTAAGCAAATGACATGTCATATGATAAATTACCCTTTCGATTCAGTTATGTCACGTTATGATATAGATTATGAAACTTATGGTTGTCCTCAAATGTAAGGTAATGAGGATGTGTTAGCTCATACTTATAATCACATGATCTTCCTTGACCACCAATCGATGTGTGATCTTTCCTAGAAGCGTACCAGAGATAGATATATTTTCCATTCTTTTGCCTACACAAAATCCTAAATACCAAGAAGAACTTTGTGAGCCAAATTGTTTCCACTATCTTCTGCTCCAACTAATCTCTCTCTCATAAGTCATAATGGTACTGATAACTATTATTAAAACATAAAGAAGAAGGAAGTTAGGAATTCATTCGTGGAAAGTCACAAGAAAAAGCAGAGAGAGCCTAATCTGAACCAAGTTGCAGTTGATGGAGGGGGCCATCCTTCCACCATGCTCTCAAGTGCATCACTCCCTCATTATGGTTCCCTCACTTAACGCCAATTTCCCCATTTAATCCTTTCAGTTGCTTTCTTTAACTCCTTTAAAAGACATCACATTTTCTTGGCTCGAAGACAAAACCCTACGCATCTTCTTCCATACTTTCAACAGAGCCAATGTATTTTATTCCAAATGTTCTCTAGCCTGTTTGGACTAGCTCAATAAAAGGTTATTTAAGTACAGTTTTTATAGAAGTAAAATTAGCATGAAATATTGTAAGATGATATCACAAGTAGACTGCTAGCTGAACTATAGAACTTCTTCTTCTAAACAAATCAAAAGCACTCAGAAAAATTCTTTGTTTGAACTGATTTCAGCTTTTACAATAGACAAACATACTGTTGCAAAAAATTAGACCGAAAGAACAGTCAACCCCTAAGAACCAGGCCAATCTATGGTGGTTGGCTGTTGATAAAGAAAATAGCAATTCGACAGCCTGAGAGTGCTAACTGGCATGGGACTCATGGTTGAGGGTATGATTGGATCGTAAAACACAGCTCGTGGGCTTTTGCTTTTTCATTTGAATTTTTTTAATGTTCTTAGCAAGCATACTGAAAAAAGCAAAGGCCAAGAAAGAAGCTCACTTGTTAGGTGTGACCCCATCTCAAAGCGTGCAAAAAGGAGTATTAGACAAATCAGCAGACAGATGGTAAAGCTAAAGAGAGACACAATAAAATGGCAAAAGCAGAGAAAAGCTCTCAAAACCTCCCTCCTTTCCTTTTAAAAACACACAAACACATAAACACACCCCAAAACCCAAAACCATATCATAAAATAAATAAATGAATCCAAAATTATACATCTGAAGCTCTGAATAGAGAGAACTTAGGAAAACAAAGAGAGAAAGGGAAAACAGAGAAAATTAGCAGTGCTTACCATGCAAGGCAGAGAAGGAAAAACAGCTACTTTAGTAGATCTCTTAGTATGTTTCCCATCTCGGGGCCACCTCACCCTAATGCCAAAGCCAATTTGCAGCCCCGCCAGGCCGTCAGAGCCCACCAAACGCCACCACAACCACCTCCAACACCACCGGCGCGTCTTGAAAAAATCAAGCACCAGACGTGGCGGCAGCTTAGCAAGTCCTCTCTCATGGAACAAGAACAAGCAAATGGGTTCTGAAATCGACGAACCAACTTCCCCGAAAGTCACCTGCGCAGGCCAGATCAAAGTCAGACCCAAAACCAGCTCGTGCAAGAACTGGCAATCCGTCATGGAGGAAATTGAGAGAATTCAAAATAGCAGGAAGAACAAGAAGCGGCCCAGCTGGGTCGAGTCTCTTGGGTTCAAAAAGGAAATCATGCAGTTCTTGACATGCTTGCGAAGCATCCGACTGGACTTCCGTTGCTTTGGGGCATTTCCTCAAACCGATATCAGCACTGACGACGAGGATGAAGAAGAAGACGAAGACAACGAACAAAATCAGCGCAACCTCAATGCCCACGTGGGGAAAGAAGGCAATGAAGAATCCAGAACCATCTTCTCCAAATGGTTCATGGTGCTTCAAGAAAATCAAAACAATGGGTTCTGCAATGAACAGAGAACAGAGAAAGAAAATACCCAATACAGCACTGACGATCAATCGGTTCCCCCTCCAAATCCTCTCCTGCTAATGCGATGCAGGTCTGCTCCTGCAAAGGGCTGGGTAGAAGAGAAAGAAGAAGAAGCCAATGAAAATGAAGCGGAAGAAGAAGGAGAAACAGAGGAATTGGGTAACAAAAAAGGTAAGGACTTGAGGACATTAATGGATGAAGAGAAAAGGAATAAGAACAAAGATCAAAGCTTGGTGGTAATGAAATACGATACTGATTTCAACAAAATTTCATCGGACATGGCAAAAGAGACATGGCTCGCTGGTAGAACGCAAGATCCATTATCAAGGAGTCGAAGTTGGAAAAGATGATAGAATTCATCCCGGTATTTTTACCCTTTTTCTCTTAACAATCTTTTGAAGTAATTTTAACTTTTTTTTTTCTTAAATAATTTTACAGAAAAATAATGTGTAGTTGCTTCGGCACAAATTGCACGTCTTATAAGCATTGATCAAATGTGAGTTCTTTAACTTTTTACTAATGATTGTAAAATATGCATTCAACTTAAAACAAAACAAAACAAAACAATTATCTCATTGAGTTGGTAAATTGATTTGGTTTCAAATTTTATTTTCCCTTTGTATTTTCATACTGTTGTGGGAAATCCAAAATTAGGAATCCCAAATATATTAGCCGTGCTCTATTGTGACGTTTTTTCCATGAACTGTACACCTTAATTTCATTTCTCTTTCATTGGAAAAGATTTTGGTTCCTCAACTTGTTGATTTAGTACCAAAACAGTCTCTAAAAAAGGGGTGGCTTATTTAGCAACGTGACATTTTTAGCGAAGTGCTGGGTCATTTGAACCTCAGAACCTCATAAACATCGCTCATCAAACATTATGATTAGGGGGTTATGCCTTTGGGGCTTCAATTCCTTTTCTACTTTCATTTTTCTTCTCTTTTATTATACATTTTTTAATTTATGGGAAAAAAAAATGGACTGTAACAATCAGAATGTTTGCTGGCCTAATCATGGTGGATAATCATGTTGGTGGCACAATTATATCATATAAACTCAGACTTGACAGAGATAATTTGACTTTATTTAGACAAAAGTTTTTAATTTTGATTGATATACGCAATATAATTTAATTTAATACTAAATCTTTGAAAACAGTAACTATCTTTATTGTATTGTTACAAGAAAAAGAAAAAGTATTAAGTGGCTTAACATGTCAATTAGAGTTCCATTTTTGGTGTTTATAAGATAATTAGAGGGCGGCAGAGCATGTAACGACAAATTGTATGGAAATATATGAAAGTGAAACTTAGGGATGTAATTTAAGTGGATTAAATGACTTTCTCAAATGAATCAAATCTCGAGGCTAGTGCACCGGGTTCTATAGATAGTTGATCAGTGTACTCAATGTTTTTAATTAATACTAAAGTTTGAATTACAATAATATCATGTAAATAACCCATTCTTTGATCTCAAATTATAACTGATAAGAAAAAAAGAAAAAAGAAAAAAAAAAAACTCCTCTGGCTAGTAGTAGGCATTTTCGTGTTTGGACTGTACTTTGAACACTCAAAAATTGTTCTTTTGATATTTTACGAGCTCAAGTTCATTGAACTAATTAAGTACCACTGGGTAAAGGAAGTATGGTAGCTCCCGCGTAGGGGTTTTTACCGGACTCGTGTTTGAGTCCTTATTTTTCAAAATTCCTTACATTTATGCTGATCGAAAAAAAAAAAAAAAAGTTCATTGAACCAATTTGATTAAAAAAATTACAAACTTTTAAATCCTATCTTTATTTAAAATAATTCCATTTCAGAAAAAATTTGTATTGTAATCTCAAAAATGGATTCGGGCTTGAATGAGGACAAGTCACAAGCGTTCTGTTGTATGATCCAATCCAACAACCCAATTTAAACCGGACCCATCCTCACCATTCTGATTCTCTCTACTGCACTGGTGCCGTGCGGCCTCTGTTCGTGCTTCAACCCATCAGCCAGCCTTCAGTTTCAAGATCCAGTTGTTTGAGCTTCAACTTTCAGCCAGCCAGTATCTAATTCGAAAAGGTTAATAGGTGCTTTCTCACGAATTCTCTCGTCTTAAGTATTTCAATAGAGATGTTTTGAGTATTATGATATGGATGACCCTTTTTTAATTGGGTAGGGAAGTATTAGAATTAGTATAATTCACAAATCAAGATTTAATAAAATTAATTTATTGATAAATTACATAAATTATATTTATTAATAAGTAA